AATACTTTATAGAACACCTTATAGGATACCCCATGTATGTGATACCTCATATATAGCTTATATGTATCCTATATGAAACTTGGTGCTATCGAACCGCCTTTCGGTAATCTCATTTTCTGAAAACGCAGCGGTTCGATAGCACCAAATTTGCTGAAACGACAACCTTCGGAAAATTTGGTGCTATCGAACCGCTTCGCTGTCCTCGTTTTCTGAAAACACAACGGCTCGATAGCACCAAATTTCTGACTGAGGGTGAACGGAGCTCTCTTTTTCTCGTGAAGTTGGAGGGGCCTGTTTGCTGCGTTAAGATGGAACTCTGTTCTTCTCATCAGATTGGAGGAAGCTCTCAGCCTTTTCTTGTCGAGGACAAGGTAGAGGACTTTATTTTTCAAGCCAGGGGAGCTCTCTCCTTTCTTGGTCGGAGCGAAGTCTCTTCAATCTTCTTAAGACTACAAGGCGACTTACCAAGAGGTAAAGGAGCTCTCTGTTAGAAAAGGCCCCCCCTACCACGAATAACTTGCCGCGAAAAATCTATTTGTCTTGGAGCATGAGGTGGGGGACTTACCTTTTCTTTGGTGAGGGCCAGATTTCTTTGTCTGACTGTTGGGGGAGCTCCACCCTTTAGTCTTGAGCATATGCTCTTTTCCATGTCTTGAAAGGCAAAAGATATAGTCACGATCTCTTACCAAAAAAAAGAGCCGACTGAGGGGTAACTGCCTTGTAGACTCGGCCGATCAGTGTACCAACGCGATGTCTACCCATAAATGAAGGTTTTTCGTGCTACTCAATCTGTGTGTGTGTGTGTATGCGGGTTTGCTACATAACTGAGAATACAAACCTGGCATATGGAAGCACGCAATTCCAGCTGGCAAATAGACCGGTTTTAGGTGGCCACCCCCCCTGCCACCCACCTTCGCGATGCGACGTCCTGCGACAAGCCAGGCATGTCCGAGAACTCCACATGTTCTGCCAAGTTTGCGGCCTTCCCGGGCCCACAGCAACGCTCTTGCTGCGGCTGCTCCCCTGCAGCGTCAAATTTAGGAGTCAGAGTCGCGCGTCCTCCCACATCCTCACTCTTGGAGTTCCGGGGCCCAGGCGTCGCCGAGGCTACGAGGCACCGGAAGCTGACCTCAAACCCAGTTCAACCGGTGCACTCGCACTCGGAGCTGGGTGCACTCACTGAGTCCCTGGGCCATCGAAGTTCCCGCTGTTGGAACTCCGCGGTCCGCTAAAGTCATCTGAGACGGCACAGCAATGCACGACGCCGATGGCGGCTCTCCGCCCTCCGCTCTCCGCGCCTCGCCGAGAGTGGAAGTTCCCGACGGGCGTCGTGGGCCGCTCCTGGAGGCGAGGCCCAGGTCAGCGCAGGCTCGTCGTAGGGAGATGTTGCTTTCTCTGTTCTGTTTGCTTTGCATTTCCAGCTACGGCGGGCGCTAACCCTTGCAGATGCACATGATTCGCTTTCAGGCGCTGTCAACCCAAGCCTGGCTCGTTCGCCGACTCGGGGCCACAGAGGTGTGTCCCCTGGGATCGCTCGCAGCCGCGCTGAAGATGTTTGGCATCCGCTGTCGCTTTCAATGAACTCGAAGCCTGGTTGGAGTATGGCTCGGGGGGAGGATCGCCTGCTGCGCCACCTCAGGCTCTGCAAATCGCCGCTAAGTACATCTCAGTTGGAAAGTGGTATGGGTACCATGGGTACCCTGAGGGCTTGGCATCGGAACTGACTCTGATCGCAGGCGCGTGGCATGAGAGTCAGCCGAACGCGCAAAAAAACACACGCACGGTCAGCCTACCACAAAAGCACCAACCCTCCTGTCGAAGACCCTTCGAAAAGAGCTTCGAACACCAATCGAAACTCGAAAGAGCTGGCCCCACTCGTCACATTCGTCAAATCAAGAATGACATGTCCCGCACAACCTGACCGCCTAGACGAAGTGCCATTGTCTTGGCCATAACTGGGGCAGCCACTCGCGACATGGGCTGCGACGCATTCGGGAACCGCCCCTTGGCAGCTGCGTCGGTGGGATCGACGGTTCAGGCTGTTGGGTCTGTGATGTACAGTAGTCAGAACAGCAGATTTAGAGCCACAGAGATCTGAAGGCAATCAAGAGATGGCTCTATGACCAAGACTACAAGGATGCATGGAGTAGTGCAGCTCACTGGAGATGCAAAATACAAAAGCCATAATGTTGAAGCGGAACTACCTAACTCGAAGGACCCACAGAATCGCGCCATTATGTCATCCTTTTGTACGATGTGCTCTCAGACCCCTGCAAGAGCCGAGGCTGTGCCGGCTGCCATCCTGAAAGCAGGATAGGGTGCTTCGAAAGAGCTTGAGAACTCTTACCTCGGAAAGTGACCGCAGAGACATGCTGAAAAGCGCTGGTGCTGCACGGCCCCTCCGTGCCTCGGAGGTATAGGAGCCGGCCGCCGCATCTGGGCGGAGCTTTGCGCAGCTTGGATTGCCAGCCCCAAGTACTCTTGAGAGAGCGGCATTGAGGGTGCTGTACGTCGTCGCCATCTTCTGGCCTGGGTCAGGTTTGGCCGCATTCCTGCCCCGCCATGAGTGTGTCCGCCTTGATCCCTGCCTGCCTCGTCTCTGTACACACGGTCTCCACGTGTGCGAATGTCTCAGTAGTGCATGGTACGCATAATCTAAACTTGAACACACAACTCGGCCTGCACATGGTTGCGTGCACGAGTATCCAACTGCATGAAGGGGTGCTTTTGTACACAAAGATGTACATGTCAATAAGTGTATCTTGCTACTCACGTGTTGTTCATTGATTCATGTATACATGAATGATCGCACATATTGCATGTAGCATGATTATGATCTGTATGTGTACGCACATAGAGAAGAAATATATAGATATAGATATGTATACATATTATATATATATATACATACATACATATATACATACGTACATACATATATATATATATTCACATGTATATTTGTTTAGCTATCTGGTCCGCAACCCCCCCTCCCCAGATCTACGCCCACGTGTTCCAATCGACTTTACAAGTTGCGTGCATACATACGTACACAACTCAGATATGCCGAATGAATGCATCGTAAATGTCTACACAATCTTGCCTTTCTTTACATGCACACAAACCGTGCTGTTATATGTCGCGGGTTTGGTGAGTGTAGAAATCTGGTGCCGAATTCCGGCCCCAAATCAAGAATAGTTTATTTGTTGCAGATAAATGCAATGCCGGAAGGTGTGGCACGTTTGTGTACGCGGTAATAACGGAACCTCCTGTTTTGCGTGTTATCGCGGATTGGTGCATCTTATTTAGCAACAGTCCTCTTATCAGAAAAACACTAGATCATCATGGCCTATGCTCGCCACTTGCGGAACGATAACGACACCAGATTCAATGTGGCATGTAGCAAGGCGACGCAGTTGGGGTGGGTTCCGACGCCGTCGCCAACAAAGGCCCTGTTCCCGGTTCGGGAACTTTGAAGTCGCCCACGCGAAGATCCGCCCACAACACCAAGCGGCCAGGGACGTCGATGCCTCTGCGAGTCCGAAAAAGTCGGATCAAGGAGCTGGAGGCTATGGACTCTCCAAGAGCCCAAGACGGATTGGAGCAAGCCGAAAGGTTCAGCACGAATACTGGAAACGCGGCACCGACCTGCGACTCGAACCTGGGAACCTCTGCACGTGGGCCATGCAGAGTTTCGTGCAGCGCATGCGATCGAGGCTCTCAGTTCCGCGAAACAGCAAACATGTCACAGCTGCCGTTGCTGCACACATGCATATTACACCAGCATGGCTGTTTATGTCTTAAAATCCTAAAGACGCTAGATTCCGGAGGGGGGTAGTGTGTGTGTGTGTGCATATATATATATATATTGCGTGAGGGTTTGG